CTTTACAGTTTCAAATTGCTTTTCTTTTTGGATTGTAAAGATAATTTTCGAAATACCCAATTTATTTTTGGTGTTTAAGCATAGAATGCTTTCAATTGAGGGGCAGTAACAATGCGAAACCATCCCGTGTAGGCTGATTTGTACAATATTTCATTCTACTGTAAAGCACTATAGTTGTGACATAGTTGTCATATATTTTTCTAAAGCTTGGTAAAAATATTTATCTAAATTAATCTTCACAAGCTTTGAAGCTGAACTAGAATGGGACCAAAAGTGATTCAGTTGAGCAGTCCACTTCTAATTATGAGCAATTAGGTATGACTTAGTTTTGATTTTAAAAGAATGAAGCAATATGGTTGAGTATCATAATTCTCATAAACCTTGAAGGTACTCTTCTATTTTTGTACTAGATGAATATTGCTTTGAATGTATAACTATTCTTTGTAGCGGACAAATCTATTTTTATAAGCACTTGGCCTACAATATACCACCTATGGACAACTGACGTACGATTTAGCATTTTGTGGTAGGTGTTTATTCAAATTCCATTATATTTTGGAAATTGTGTTGATAAATTTCGTGGGCATACATAAATAGTCACCTGCAAATGATCTATAAGGGTGTGAATAATTTCCTTTGTCCTAAAGATACAAAGGATTGTTTTTTTTTTCTTTCAAAGGCATCCCAATGTTCATGTAATACCATTATTGATATTTTTACTTTACTATTTTATTAGTTCACATATTTAATTATTGATGTTAGCTCATATAACTAATTTTTTGTTCTTTTTAAAGATATGTTCCTTCAAGTACTAAACCATTACAAAGCCATGTTACTGTCATTTGCCTTATCAAATAGAAGTTCTCCCTTTGGAATTTGAAGATGTGTATTTGGTAGCTGCATTTGGTTCATTATTGTGTGTGGTTTTTCTTTTTTCTAACTACAGATGAATTCAATGATGTTTGTGATTTTTCTTGCACTATGATTTTACCAAAGATAAGCTTGGTGGTAGCTTTCCACACTTATGAAACTCATCAATTAAGAAAACCAGCCAGTTAAAAACAAATCAATTTGTAAAAAGTTTTGCTAACACAACATTCTCCATCTTTTTGATAGATTAACTATTATGGAGTGTTTCGACCTAAGACCAGGAGTTATCATTAATAGTCCTGCTGGTGAGGATGTTCACAAAGGAGTTCTTAAGGTAGATGTTCTTCATCATCGTTTAGTATATATCTAAACTATATTCCTGTCTCATGTGCTATCTCTTGAGGCAGGATTACGCTAGAGATGATGTTAACGTGGACAACTTTTTAGCTATCTCCTTGGTAAAAACTGCTCTTACTAGGTATTGAAAAAATGGGAATAGTGGTCCAAATGATCATATTTACATATTCTATAGTGATCATGGTAGCTTTGGGGTGCTTGGTAAGTAGCTTATTTTTTCCTCTTTTGGTTGTTGCTTTGCTTTCTATATCTTGCGCTTTTATGCTAATTTTGTAATGAAAATTTTGAGGGCTTGAATCTGAGTCTGCAACTCAATAATGTCACGTTTATTGAATATTTATGACCATTGTCTCACTGCTTTCTACTATCTGATAAAAAGATGATATCTATTCATTCTTTATCATATATGAAAAATTTAGCAGAGGTAAATGTGAACTAAATATAATCCGAGGTTTTAAATGATATTATGTATTAATGAAGTTTAGATAAGGAATGCAGAGAAGTGGTCCAGTTTAAATATTCAATGGGTACATAGGCATGTTAAGTCCACTTTTTTTCCAACATACATTTTTCTTCTCATAAACGTGGACTAGGGATAACCTTTTATTGTGATGAATGTGTGGGTATGGTAAATATTAGGTAAGCATTAATGTAAATAATAAAGGATTTACATAGATGTATCAACTGACTAAACAACATAAAAGCAGTTCATGGTAAGTTGTCATTTATACCAAATGGATGACATTGTTGATTTTCCTAATTGCAATCCTATTAATGGTAAGTTCTCATTTAACAAATTATATTAGCCCGTCATCATTTTTCTCAATCGAGTAATTCAAAAATCTATATTTTTCACGAGAGCCACATGAAAAAAAAGCATGATTGGCATCAATACTCACTTTTTGTTGGAAACAGTGTCATAGACTATCCTTAGGCTAGAAGAGTATACATGATTTTTCAGTTTTCATGAGACCTCGAAGGCTATTGTAAGTACAGATAACTCATTGTACAAATTTCTTTGGATTGCACCAAAATTTAGGTTTCTCTGAAATACATTGAACTATGGTGAGGGTGTGATTGTTGATTTGCTGGACACTAGAATATACCCAAACATCCTTCATTTAAAGATAAAGTAATGTATTCTCTACCTGCCGAATGAAAGGGAGGGTGGAAGTCTAATTTCACGATATGTAACAACAAGCTCATGGAACAAGAGACTTAGTTTGTGTTTGATTACTTCAAACATGACATTTTTTGTAGGCATTACAGTGTAGCGACAAGAAGAAAGTGTTAGCTTTTCTATGATACCTACAATTAGAAGAAAGAAGATGAATGAGGCTTCGAGGTGAGTGTTTTATCTCCGTTACGCTTTTTATGTTTACTTTGAATAATATAATATGTGTTTGAGTATGTATTTGTACTACTAGGATAATAACTATTGATATTCAGTACATTGATACAAATTCATAGCTCTAACTATAAGCCAGAGAGAATAATTGGAAGAAAGAGCTGGAAAAACTAATACAAAAACAAGAGTCATTCAGAAGCTCCTGCTTTGGGAATGGAGGAACTTCTATTTTTCTATTTTGAAGAGCTTGTTGGACTTTTAGTTATTTTGAATTTTTTTTGTTATGTTTTAAAATATTATTACATTTATATGAATAGGCCTTAAAGTTGAGGTGTTAATTGTAGTACCAATGAAAAATTGAATCAACAATTTTGATTTTTTTCTGGCGATAAATATGTAAACTCCCCTATGAGTATGCATTCGTTTGTAGTTTGGGCTAAGCAAACACCACATTGAACTACCACTGAAATCTCTGAGCCATTTCTGAAAATGAATGTCATCTTATGACTGTTGAGTATGACTTCAATAATGTCTATGCTTTGTAATAATGGAGTTTTATAATAAAGCTTACAACAGTTTTAGATTAGCTGTTCACTCTCTTGCAAGTGCTCGTCTATTAGGGAGCATCATGAGAAAAATTCTAATGATGTATTTATCGTAGTATTTGTATTTCTAAAACTTTTATGTATTCAGGGAGCATCTTCAATTGAGCATGAGAGAAATTCTAATGATGTATTTATCGTAGTATTTGTACTTCTGGAACTTTTATGTATTTATAAAATAAAAACAGTTGAGCAATATTGTATCCTCATCTTTTATTTGTATAACAACAATATTTGTTCATTATAATCAAACTACGGTAGAGAAAAGTTGTAATTGTTTTTTCAAAATCTTACATGTTGGGCCCGTGCATAGCACGGGCATTTCATATATAGTATATATATATATATATATAAAACCACTTCTCCAAGTTTGAACACTCTTAACTAATTTTGTGGGTACGCCGTTGTTTTTGCCCCTCACAATAAATGATAACTTTTTAATGTAATTTAAATTTATATTTTTATATCAAAATATCTCTTTTTTTTTATTTATTAAAAAACCCCAAAAGGCATTGATAAATAAAACGAGAATAAACAAATGTTAGACCCAAAAGTGACCCATATTGCCAAACAAAACAGAGCAAAATAGAAATGCAGACCAACTCAAAAGGGAAAGTAACTGGTAGCCGTCGTATTCCTTGCTATCACTTTCGCATTCAGATGAATTTTGATGGAACAACGCCCATTGTTGAAAGATCGAGAAGTTGAGAACATCAAGCTTGGATAGATTACATCCAAGACGCTCCATTCTGTCACAAGCGCCATATAATCTTGTCCGATGAAGACTTCTTCAACTTGATGCAGCTCAAATCTGATACTTTCATTTGAAGGTGAGCCCTATATTCTCTACCTTATTGTGACGATTCTGAGTAATTCATGTTTCTCTGGCCGCACTAAATTGAAAAGTGTAAACAACTGGACATAAATTTGTTATGGTGGTCAATAGTTGTCGATATCATGCTCTTACAAAACCCAAGTCCTACTAATAAAACGCTTTGCTAAAAAAAATAATTAAATGGATAGACGGTTGTTCCATTATTAAGTAGGACAAGTCGCTGACAGTCTAGCGACTAGTTTTCTAAAAAATAGGAAAAAGCCAACAAAGAAGTATATACAAGTTTTTGGAAGCCAAATGGCCTTGGATGGTAAGTTATATAGGGGAATAATTATTTTTTCCCCTTATATAGAAAGTAATCGTAAAGATATGACATATGTCGTCTAACTCAACATCAAAAACTAGCTTTTAAGGGGCTGATTGCCCAAATCCATATAAACAGACCGACATTCGATTCCCCAACCAACATGAGACTTTTACCCACTCTAACACTCCCTTCATGCCCAGGCCCAACTGGAGCGTGGATTGAGAGCCCAAAAATCATCCTAGCAGCCAATCAGCTTACCATTGAACAACCAAGCCTGAGAATCTCTCTGTAAAATATAATAACTTTTTCAATTCAAAATATTTATTGGGAACAGTCACCCTACCTTATACAAGGCAGGATAAGGTCTTCGTACACCCAACCTTCTCAGACCCTATAAATAGAATCACACTGGGTATGTTATTGTCGTTGTAATTCAGAAATTGATCAATTCAATTTCGCCATTGGAAAAGCACTTAGCATAGAATGAGTAAATGATATCACACTCATAAGTATGTTATAAAGAGTCTTATGTAATAGTTGGGTACGGTCAGATATCACCAGTTGCCTCAATTAGCCCTTTAACTTTGAGTGTGCACAAGTAGACACTTAAATTTGTATAAAATTGAACAAACATATAATGATCAGAGAGTAAACTTGATAAAAAAAACTGATAACTCATAAGCTCATCAACACTACAATTGAGACAATTACTACTTACTTAACGACACTTATGATAGCTAGAATAGTATGTATAGTTGTGAGTAGGAGGAGTATGATGGCTGCCACAGTTGAAGCTCCTGCCCAAGGGCTATTAAAATAATTGTGCTTCAAATTTGCCTTCATTCTGTTCCATGGTTTTTTCACAATGTTGAATTGCTTTTAAGCAGTCTTCATAGTAATAGAAGTCAAAATAAACAGTGACTCCAATTTCGATTTTCTTGAAGAGGCTAGCCACATCTTTGTCCTCTCCCATCCAGTTCTCTATGATTCCTTTCTGGCGAAGCAAATTCACATCTTTGTCTGAGTCGATAAGATAATCCATAAAAGTTGCATAACCACTAAAATATTTAGGTTGTACATCAGACGATTGTTGCTCATAAGCAATGAGATTTCGCATGAGGGTTTATGTATTATCTGCGACTTGAAAACAAGGGATTGTCATCGATCCATTCTCGAACTTTATGTCAAATAAAACTTGTCATATCATTAATACGGTCTTTGTTACCATTAATATTTCTAACCTTTGCAAAGTTAACTTCAGCTTCGGAAATCTCTGTTGCATTTGGCATAACCTTATGCCATATCATGCCATCTTTTAACTTTTTTCTGTCTTTCTAAAGGATCCAATGGTCATTTTTGGCAAGCTACCAAAGAAGGTAAACAAACAATTCGGCAATATTGCTAATGATAATTCATCATCTGGCTTTGTCATGTCATAAAGTTGGTTGAAGAAAAAGAAAGGAAGTTGATTTTCTAGTAACATCAAGTCTAGGAATATGTAATCAACATTAATATTAATAATCTTGTCTCCTCCTTCTGGACATATTTGACAACGGTCTCGAATAAACTCATCCAGAAAACTGTTGGAAAACTATATGCACAGCAGAAGCATACTAGAATCTTACTGCTTACATGAATAATAGATAATCAATATTGTTTATGTTAGAACACATATAATATGCTAGAACACACAAACTTACTGAAATTTAATTCACCTCTAGTTAAAGTGTGAGCAGATACCTTCAAGCGGATCCCCAAGATAGACAGACCTTCAAGCGAATCTACAAGATAGACAATAGCTATGGTCTTCTACAGTGATCCCAAGTTCACATTCGAACTCTCTCAATACTTGCGTGGGCAAGTATCGAATAGAAAACCTTCCATCTCTTTCTCTAGGTTAGGAGAATCCATACTTATAGAGATTTCTTCTCAATCCAAAAAGAAGAAAACTCAGTTTTCCTTTAAAACAAGAAAAACCACACGTTGGTTTTGTTGAACCCAAAACTTACGCTTTCCTCTCCTTTTTCCTTAGAAATAGGATTCTGAGTTCTAGTTAAATATGGGCACTGTAGGGACCACATAATTAATTACTGAGGAATAATTCCAAATAATTAATTAGAATTATTCTTACCATAATAAATTACAAATCATTCCACTAGAAATTCGTAATTGCATTCCTCTATTTATATTTCAAAATTCCCCATTAAACACTTATGTGATTCCCCATGTTAAGATTACAGATACTAATCAATAAATTAAATTACTGACGAATTTAATTTAATGATTAATTTACTTTAGAGCACTACTTAACTTATTTCATGTGTCGGATTCATAAATCCACTTGTAAGGTTTGACACGATGAAAACTAATAAGTTTCTCAAAAAGGCATATTAATCAATCTTTATAACGAGACATGGATTTCATCAACTAACTTATTATTTCACCAATATATATTATTATCATCCAATCTACCAGGCATATTGACCAATCTCAGAATCTCACATTTTAATAAATCAAAACGATAATTAATATATACAGATCATAATAGTTATAGCAGGATTAAAAATATAAGTACATTTAATAATTTAGAGAATATGTTTTTGTCAGCCAGTCTAAAACAACTATCTCTGCTTGGTCCCGTTCAATACATACAAAATGCACTAGCACAAGAAGTTGAAACTATACCGTTCTCATAATCAAGATAAATTACATATAATCTTGTGCTACAATCGTACCGATGGCATGTCCGATTTCCATCCTAGATTGTGAACAATAAACTTGATACTTAAAAGAACCAATGATTTAATCCCTCTGTGTATAAGCTAAAACTCTACACACTAAATCATCTACTATATAAGTAAACAGACACCATAAACAAATATATGATCTATTAAAACTGAGCAAATATTTATTCTATAATAAAGATTATATCTTAACATATGGTTTTCACATATGAGACTCGTATTTATTTCATCGATTCAACAACATTTGGCAAAATTGACTATCATTACCAAACTCTTCTATATCCTCGTAACACTTCAGTGCTTCCTCCTTCAGTTTATGCAATTCACTGATGCAACTTTTCAGATCAAGGCTCTTATTATGTTGAAGAAATCGTCGTAGGTACAATAATTTGTACTTTTCCATTGGATCAAGTTGAGGATTTTTCTTATAGTAAGGACCAATAGAGACCATCTTTGGTGTATAAGCATCTAGATTTGATTTACGTAGCCACACGTTTACTTTAAACTAGTCTGTGGGCACGTGCGTTACTATTGTGTCCCATACATCAATAACGAAAAACTCTTATAAAGTTAAATAAAATTATATTTTAAAATGTAATACCAACTTAACCTCAATCAATTCATCTTACTGTTTGCTTCCTTTAAAAATAAGGGTGGAATTATAACATTATAATATTAGATCGATCCTAAGCATAACTTTATAGCAATGAACCAAACCTTGCATGTATAATATATTAAAAAAACCACAAAAATGTCGAATCAAATGAATTTGGTTCATGTAAATATAAGGTAATCAAACTATTGTAGGACAATGTAGAAGTCATACTTGATATTTCTAACTTTATGAATTCATCTTCTTCCAAATTCTTTTAGGTGTTTCTAAATAAAGTGAAGATGTCAAACTTGCTATACGCTTTATTGTTACTCTTAGATCATAAATTAAGTTAGTTGGTTCATAAAAAAAAATTCATACAAGCTTCAAAAATTAAATGCAAAGAATATCGTTATTAATTTTAAAAGCAAAACAATCATTTAGATGAATAAAATAAAATAGTTCAGAGTATTAGACAAATTTTTTAAAAATGTTCAATTAGTATGCATTAAGTAAAAAAGGTTTATTTTAATTCACCGCATAATTTCATAGTATTGAAAGAGATTATGTAGTTGTTTGTACCTAGAACTCCATCCTAAATTTTTGTGTTTTTATCTATTTCTCTTCATCTAAATTCATGAATATAGACACCTCAACTATTGATTAGTTTAAGAAAAAACAACATAAAATTAAAAAACAAAATCCTCTCTATAGCTTGTGTCCATTTGTATTTCCAAAACATTGTAGTTGTGAACATAATAAGTATAATTTTTAGTAATTAGTTGAGAATACCAAAATTACTCCAAGCCAAATAACACTGGATACATTGCAAGACAATGTGTAAGTGATTTTAATTTCTTTACAAATAGTAACAAGAAATTTCAGAAAGAGAAACAATCATAAATAAAGAATTAGAATTGAAACAATCCTTTGTAATTTGAAAAAATCTATAAATGATAAAAATCTTACAAACAAACAATAGAAGATGGAAAAAGAAGGAACTTTACCATAAGAGTACGTAGAAATGTTAGTGGAAGAATTCAAGATGACAAATTAGTAGTTGGTAGTGGTATATATATATATATATATATTGATTTAGCTACAACTCTTCATATTCTTTAATTTAAGATTAAAAGAGGGAAAACCTTGATTCATATACTTATTTAAAATTCTAGAAATCCTAATTGGCCCTTGTTCTTCCACGTTCCCTTTCTAATAAATAACTTACAATTCAAAAAATAATTAAAATAATATTATTTAATTAATTAGATAGTTAATTTAGTCTAGGGATAAAATGGTAATCCAACTTTTCATCTTTGAAGCTTCCCACTTTTAGTAAGATACGATATGATATGATACGTGATTTAGTCTAAATCCTCAAACATTTCATCGATTCTTTTATTTATGTCGATTAAATGATCCACTTCCCTCCCTTCTTCTATCTGTAATGAATAAGAGTCTTTTTTTTTTTTTGCAATACATGGATTTAGTCAGTTTGTTAAGAAGAAGTATTGTATAAGCGACGTTTAAGGTTGTTGAGGACAAAGTATACTAGAGGTATTTTGAGTTATTGTTATTAAGGAGTGTCAATGTAGCAAAAAATATAATCATGAGGTGTCAATATTTTATATAATAAATGTATTAAATCAAAATTTAACCTCTATATACAATATAATTCTCCGACGAAGGAATGCCTGAATCCGCCCTTGATCACAAAGCAAATCTGTCAACTCAAAAGTTGAAAACACCACATGTGCACACAAACAGCCAACAAAAAGAAATTTCAAAACCTTTGCAGCAACTTGAGAAAGATACAATATCTTATTATGCTAACGGTGGTATCCAGATCAACTTGTACAGTACTTTAACAACTCCACTAAGTACTTGCTATGGCAATAGACAATAGCAAAGCCAGAATTAGTCAAGTAATTACTTTTTGATCTATATATATATTTAATCATGATTTTTCTATATACACATTACATATCATCATTTTTTAACAAAGAGTGTTTAACTAATTACCATTCGATCTATGTGGCTCTATCATTACTGCTATCTCAAATCAACACAAGTATTGGATAATAATTTTGTCTGCCATAACATAAGCGGACAGGTAAACACCCCCAACTTTGGTTTGGTTTGTTTTTGCGGGAATTTGAACTCCGACATAAATTAATTAATGGACTGAAAAAGCAAAGAAAAAAAACAAAGACTAGAAAGCAGATGTTGAGATGTTTGGGATTTTTTTTTAGGAAAAACATTATTGCTTTCGAGCGATAGAAATTTTTTACTGCTATCTCAAATCAACACAAGTATTGGATAATAATTTTGTCTGCCATAACATAAGCGGATAGGTAAACACCCCCAACTTTGGTTT